CAGAGCAAACCTCTGCCTCTGCACCTGGGGCTCCTGCGTGCAGTGGGAGGAGGCCGCTGGCCCTGGGCACCCAGAGCACCATGATGGGGCTGGCAGGAAGGCACAAGCTAGGCGGGGAATCTGTCTCCAAGCTCAGGTAGAGCAGGGAGTGAGCTGCCCGAGCCCAGGTCCCTGAGAGAAAGGAGGAGGCCTGCGCCTCCTGTGGGCTAATTTCTTGCTGTTTACAAGGTCAGGAAACCCAGAGCTGAAGCACACTCAAAAATGGGTCCAAGCACCAGGCATGGTGACACACACCTGTAATCTCAGCACTTGGGAGGCTGAGGCAGGAGGGTGGGCAGTTTGATGCCAGCCCAGCTATAGAGGGAGCTCAAAGCCAGCCTGCCCAAAAACACAAAGAGAAGGAGGCAAGGAAGAAGAGGATGGAAGGAAAGAAGAGAAGGAGGGAGAGAGGAAGAAAGGGAGGGAAGAGAAAAGAAAGAGAAAAAAGGGGCCCACCCAAATGACAAACTGGGAAAACACACTTGCCATTTATATCACAGAGCTGACGTCCACGTGAGACAGGGATGGCAGCGTGGGCGCCGTCCTGGCCTGAGGCTCTCAGCACACAGGGTGCCTCCAGCTCTTGGAGACCATGAAGGCATTTCCCTTCCACCCTATCCCCTTGGTGTCCCGACACGAACCTAAAGAACATGCCCCCGCCCCATCGCTCTTCCTGACCTCTGGCAGGAGTCTGAGGAGCTTGACCTGAGGGAAACCCCACGCAGTCACTGAACATCATCCTCGAATACCACGGCAGCTTGGACTCCTTCAGGGTTTTGACAGCTGTGCGGGTTCCGTCCAAGCCCACAGAACTTCACCAACCCTCCTCCCGATGTGAGGATTGGAAGAAGTGCAGGCAGTTACTGGTGCCAGCCCCGACTGCTCCCAGATTCCAGCAAACAAAAGAGAAGCCAACCAGAGCCTACCAAAGTGGCCTCTAATCCCAGCGGCAGACTCTGGTTACTGACATCGCCGCTGCGGGGCTCACAAGATGAAAGGGGTGAGCAGTTAATATCTGCCCCTTTAAAATGAGAATTGGAGAACTAGAGCCAGGTGTGGTGTGTGCAGAATCACTCCCAGTTCCATGAAAGATCACGAAACCAGAATCTGAGCATGAGTACA